GTAGAAAAAAAAAAACATTTAAAAGTTGATTTGAGTTAGTACACCAGTGCAATTTTAGGCACGATCTGGTTGAAAATAACAGTTTTTGGAGGTCATTTAAACATATCCTGTATCATGAGATAGCCCTACAGTGAATGACTGAGTTTGTGTCTGTAAGCCTTTAAAGTAGAAAAGCCAGCATATCAGGATTCTGAAGTTTACCCTTTTCTCTGATCAACAGTGCTGAAAACAGACGTTATGATGGTGTAGATTAGGGCTGGGCCATATCATACCGTTCACGGTAATACCGGTATAACGTTGGGCAACGACAAGAAAATGAAATATTGCGATAGAATATGGGTAAAAAGCGCATGCGCAGTGCCTTTGTTTTCATACGCACATGGCGAAAAAGACACGGCGGCGACGGAGAATGAGAAGGGCGAAAGCGGATCGTTGAATGAAACGGATGAACCAGAATTGGTTTGTAAAAATGCTGCAACTTCAGTGGTGTGGAACTGGTTTAGCTTTGGTCCGTCAGATACACAACAAAGCACTATTTTTGGTAGAGCATGCTAGCGGGCCGCCGTTATTACTGCGTTTTTTGGAAAATACGGCACACTTCAAATCAATCCTTTGATTTTTCTGAAAATCGACAGTGCCCCTTATAATCCCGTGTGCCTTATGTTTGAATTCTGGTTGTGTTTACTGACCTTGAAATGATTTTATGTCATACACGGCGCTCGAAAATCTGTCAAATGTTTTAGTACGACTTTGCTAAGCTACGAACCCGCACCGCTTGATGGATTGTCGGAGCATTACGGCTATCGTAGGCAGGAGCCTCGTGGAGTGATACATAGTGTGCTTCAACATAATATTACAGTATTGTGTGCGTATAAGCTTTTTTTAAAAAAAAGTTTTGTGGATATTATACATGGTTATGCTGAGGATATGTCGGCCAATTTCTACTGGAAATGCCTTTAAACTGTTAAACTGTCAGCAAGGAATTTCCATTTGCACTGTTAAATCTTTATATAACTTTAATGCACATAAAAAACAGCTGCTGGTTTAAGTGAAAATACATTGATTTTTTTTTTTGCACTAATAAAATTGTGGAGTTGTAAAGTATTTTGTCTAGTGTCAATTATATCGTCATTTATATCGTTATCGCAAATTTTCAAATTTATATCGTGATAAATAATTTTGGTCATATCGCCCTGCTCTAGTGTAGATGTCAATAATAATTCATTGTCCAAAATAACAACCCTCAGGTCAAAGGCTCACAGTTTTACAAGTGGCTTATGAAAAAAAATGTTTGTCATATTTTAAATATGAATGCAATTTAATTAACAAAATGCATTATTTCCGTTTTAATCTGAAATATTTAACAGAACTTTCAAATAATATGATCTAGTACAGCGGTCCCCAACCCCGGTACCGGTCCGTGAGTTGTTTGGTACCGTGCCGCGAGAGTTCAGGCTTGGGTGTGAAATTTATGGTTTTCAAGGTTTGTTTTTAATCGTTAACTCCGTTTCCCTGGGTCTTTTCCTATGTGTTATGAATAAATCATCTTTTTTTGGGTACCGGTACTGGTTTTATTTTGTTGTATTTATCAACTTCTGGAGGCTTACAACAGATTTCTTTCGGTATAAAACAACTGGCAGTGGATGGAGCAGCTACAAAGATTGCTTTTCTTCATGTCAGACTTTGCTCCGGAATACCCTCTAGTTTTTTTTCACAGTTTATACTGCAAGTGTGTTTTTAGTTGTAAATGTGGGTTTCCATGGTGACAATGGCACGCTGCAGAGCTGTGCTTTAAACAAAGCATCAAAGCAAAGCAAAAAATTGTATTGAGAACTTTTTTATAATCCAATTGCTCAATGAACTGCTGCAGCCATATATCCTACACAATATACTGCTTATAGAAACCTCAACCTCTTTGTTTTAGCCTCAAACGAAAAGCAGCACAATTAACTATCACTTGGGATTTTCCTAACCTGATGTGGTTAGTGGATGCTAAGGCTGTTTTTTTAAGATAGGTATAGCAGTCGGTACGCAATCGGCTCGATGTCCTACATTCTTGTTTTGTTTGTGTCACATACAGAGGTGGCACTGAGGCACTGCAGACGAGCACACTGCTCTCCGTCTGCAGACATATGTGGGACCATAAGTTTGGCCTGAGTCATTCCTGTTAAGGACCTTTTACATGTCTGTATGTCACTGTTTTGTGCCCACTCCACACATACTAGACGCGCCTGCTCCATGTCATTCAGAACCATGTATCTCTCATACATAAAAAAGAAAGCTTTGGAACCATTCCCATTAGTGAAGAGTGTGTTCTTTCTACAACACTGTTTCCCTCCCGAGGTCGCGTTATGACACAAGTTTATGTGCCTAAAGTCCACATGACATCATGTGGTTGGTTGGTTGTGGCTAATAGACTTACTAACACTAAAAAGTTTAGGGGACCACTTTTCTACTACCCACAGTAAGTTTTATGTTAATTCAATTGTATTTATACATCGCCAAATCACAACAGTCGCCTCATTGAGCTATATATTGTAAGGCAGACCCTACAATAGTACAACAGCAAAAACCCCAGCAATCATATGACCTATGAACTCTGGCGACAGTGGGGGGGGAAAAAACCCTCCCTTTTAACAGGAAGAAACCTCCAGCACAACCAGGCTCAGGGAGGGACTTTTAAAAGCAGCTACCCAAACAAAGTAGTGCCGCTTACTGCTAAAGACACAGGATATATTTTCCACTTTCACTTAGTTTGAACATAAAACTCATTGTTCCAGCCAGGGGCAGCACTAGAGTGAGCCCCTTGACTAACTGAATTTTAGTGTTCTTGTTTTCCTCTCAGTTATTGATTCTGTCACTGGTTAGCTGACACGTAATAAAACTGATTAGGTTCATCAAATATCTGCAAAAGCATTTCTATTCATCGCCATCAGCAGCCTGACTTCACAGGCACTTCCTGACGTAACCACTGTACTCAGGACAAGGCGACCACACTGAAGACCACCACCACAATGAGCCCGAGGATACTCCGAGTCCCCATCCCCGCTCTCTCACGCTCTCAATACGACAAGCACACCTCTGTAGACTCCACCCGGTGCACAAGCTCACAAACGGCCACTGGACAGGCTCCAAGGGAGACTGCTGGTAATTTATGCTGCATTGTCTTCAGCGTGCAACTGAGACAGAAAACGACGTGCCCCCTTCTGCAGGCGGGCGTTCCGTTCCGCACGTACACAGCAGAAATCCATCGCGGGATTAACTGACAACTCCTTTCTTTTCCCAGGTGAAATCGTACCAAATGTGCTGCAGCTCCTAAAATCCAGCCGAACTGAAATTTGCTGGCCTTAGGGCTGTTACCGAGAGACAGGCGACCAACTTACGCTCACGTGCACGAGCATGTAGCCAAACATACAAGGGTAAAGAACTGATGCTAGGCACCCATATCCGCCAGAAGTGTATCAACGTAATGGAAGCCACCGTAAATAAAACAAGTCATTTTATTATTGCTGGTATAGGTCATTTTACCTGAACGACTCTTAACACCAACATTGCCAAAGGTAATTACCTCATGCAGACACAGCTTTAAGCTAACGTTTGTTTCAGATGCTCAACATTTAAGCTGAAGTTTACGAGCCTGTGTGTATTCACCAACCTGTGACTACTAGACTCGCTTCTATTCTGGACATAGACAAAACAACAACAACTAGCGAGTGCTTCCAAGAACTACTCAGTTTTGAAAGCAGGGTTTTCTCTGGAATATCAGTATGTGTGTAGCGTTGTTATCAATGCTAGCTGATTAGCTTGTTTGCTTAAGCGTAAAGAAAAGCAACTCACCCCACAAAACTCTTGACAATACTTCGAAGATGATTCTTCTGGAGAGTCGATGCTTTCTCTACTCAAGATTTCTTGCAATTCTTGCAAACGTTTTTTAAGTTCCTCAGTCGTTTCACTGATACCAATGGCAGGACTACGATCCTGTTCGGCCTCCTCGTCCGCCATCTTCACACCCAGCTTCTGCGCGTAACCACTGCTACGTAATCACGTAAGCACACATTTTACGAGTTCACGTCATCCCCCCGGTCGTGCCGACAGCACGTACAGAGAATTTCAGCTTTGTTGTTGTGATGGCAGCTTGTCATGTGAGTTCCTGCTACTTAGCGAAAATTAGTTTGCGAGAGTAGGTTCAAATAACAGATAAAACACCCTCAAAATCTCTGATTTTGTCAAGCCAGACTCACTGTGGATTTTGTTTCTTCTTTTTCTTTTGGCTGCTTCATTAAGAGGTTAAACCAGTACATCATATGCCTCCATCTCATTCTATCCCTAATACCGTCCTCTGTCGCTCTGATCCTCCTGCATTAAATCCATAAATCTTCTATGAAGTTCCTCGTTTCTTCCTTCCATCTTCAATATCCTTTGTCCAGTACTTATACACTATGAGTTGGCTGCAGTTCAGGAAGTAGAGCAGGTCAGCTATTAATCAAATGGTCAGTGGTTCAATTCCTGGCTGCTCCAGTCTGCATATCCTTGGGCATGATACCTCTTGAAATATTGCTCTTTATTTGCAAAACAGGATATCAGTCCTTTTCGACTTTCCCTTAAGATTTCTTTTTGAAAGATGAATTTGGTTTTGATTCTCCTGTTTTATTTAGATATAGAAAACATCATTAAATCACCCAAACACAACATTGAATCCATTTATTAAAAAAACAACAACAACAACAAATGAGTACATTTAATGATCATGTAAATTACAATTGTCTTTTACTTTTGATATTGAACCCCAAAACAACTCCCTGATTGTGAGGGATTTAAAAGTATAGTTGTTTTAACAAAACACATATAATACATGTATCTTTAAAACTACTTGAGGTTTATCACTCAGGGTTCAGTATAGAGTAGAAAAATGCTTTAATCCTTAATTACATGTATTACTGCAGAGTCTTTAAAAAAAAGTCTAACTGGAAAAGAGAGAAAAAAACCCCAGTCCCTACTAATATACAACTTCTTTCATTATTCTCTTCCCAACTCATATTTTACTTTAGAAACTCTGGCCATTCACAGCTGGACTTTAGGGTGTCATCATCTCCTGTCATCGGAAGGCTTCCTAGCCTGCAAGAGAACAAGAAATAATGGGGGGAAAATTTAGTGCATGAGTAAATCATGTTGGGTTTGCTTGCTGGGGAGTTTACATAACTGGAGTAGGGCAGGAGGGTTAATCCAATGTGGATTAAGCTAGGTGTCTTTCCTAGAGGCAGGTTGGTACCATATATCTGAGCACAGGAGCTGTAGGTATGAATTAGACTTAAACTGTTTGAAAAAGATTATGCTGCATGTGTCCAGAGTGACTAAATCCTCCATGTTAATCTATTCAGAAGTAAAACTCCACAAGCACAGTTCTGGATAAAGAAGGCTAAGGCAAAGCAAATGCTGTAATGTATTTAAGTACATTTACTCAGTTTACATGATCAAAAATTACAATTTAAATTGAAGTTGTTTGATGTAATCCCTTTTTCTAGTTCTCAACTACATTTTGGGGTAGTACTCTGGTAAAAGATTTAGTTGCTAGTTGCTAGTTAGTTGCATGTGTGAATTATTACTACGGAAATCACTTGTTAACCAATAAATGATATATTCTTGATATATTCTGTTATATTCTTATAGATTAATTGCCTGTACATTTTCCCTGAATTTTTCTGCTGCAATGAGCTGACCCAGTCATGTTATATTGTGACATGAAACAATGGTTTCTGGTATAAAAAATGCTTAATGAGCACTACAGGAATGCTAAAAGTTAGATTATGTGCACAATTACAATATTTTAAATATCATTTGGCTGGTGCTCCTTAACAAAAGTAGTATCTTGTCACATATCAAATTATGATGATTTTTCAAAGATGAATCAGTCATTTTCCCTGAAATTAATTAGACTGGAGATGAAAACTGTATCAGGAAAAAAATATAACTTTTCAGTTCCTTGAAGTTGTATTCATTTGGAGGGGGGGGGGTTATAGACTTAGAAGACTTGATTCTTTTTGATATATCCTGCAGTTAATTTGTCATGCGAGGGGGACTACAAAATGGGGACTAAAACTATTGTTCCAGCTTTTAAGTGATAATACACTCCACATCTCTCATAAACAATAAAACAATTTGTTAAGGCCTCAGTCACATGGGCCTAGAGACTGGTTGGAGATGCCCTCGCATCCACTGGTTGTGAAGGCGACAATGTTTATTCCCCTACTGGTTGGCAAGTGGTTGCTGGCTGTTGCTGGTGAGATAGCTTACAAAATTGCTAGCAGATTTGGGCAATTCCCAACTGTTTATATTGAAGATAAAAACATCTGCAAACACTCACCATTTACTCTTGAAATGAAGGACTTTGTTTCTTTATGACTGCAACCAACACCTCCCTGCTCTTGCTCTTGACGAAGGCGGTCGCACTTTTCTCCTCCTCCTCCTCTCCCTTAGCTTCCCTGCTTAGCCTCTTATGTCCTTGTCTAGTCTCGTGTTTTTTTGTATTACTTTTCCCTGGAACACTCTCTCACAGTCTGTTCTCTAAAACCTAAAAGAGGAATTATGGATTTGATCAACTGGTCCCTAAATGCAATTGACACCCTTTTCTCAACGAGAAGTTTGGGCTTGGGTGAGCCTGAGTGCTGAAGATATCTACCTATTCGGAACCATGGTAACAGGGTTCTTGCTGATCGGAGCTGGCTTGGCCCTGACTTATCGAAGAATTAAGGAAGCGGAACCGGCTGTTCAAACCCCCACAAGGCTGCCCACTGGGATTGAAACGATGGGAAGAGGCGTGAGTTTCTCAAAATGGGCTCATTGAGTCAGCACGGACAAGATCTTGGAAAGGCTTACGGCTGCCGTGAATACTCAGAATAAGATCTCTGACTGCAAACTGGATTACATCTTGGAAGGGCTCGCTCAGAATAACATCTCTGAGCGCAAATTGGATTACATCTTGGGGAGGCTCACTGT